TATCTATCTATCTATCTATCTATCTATCTATCTATCTATCTATCTATGACAATAATAACTGTAAATGTATTTATTTAGATAGATAGAAAAACCCGTTTATATGAAGGTTCATGGGTGGCACGGTGGTTGGACCCTTGCTCAACTCCATTTTATTATTGCCGTTTGAAAACATACAGTTCATGAAAAGGAATCCTGAATTCATAACAGTTTAAACAGAAGATAAAGGAACAGCTAATACAGATCTTTTACAACTCACAATATCATGCATGAAGTCTTCTGTCTCATCCGGTCGCCATTAAAACAGATGATGAGCAAACAAAGAATGGAAAAGATGACAAAAAAAAAACTTTTGAGCTGATTTCAAGGTGATGAAATATGACACGTTCCGCCAATCCTATTCTACTGTGAGAGTTTCAGCTTTACTGATCCCGGCTGCTGGTGATACTGGCTGAACGCACGTCAAAGCGCATCTACCGCTACCCGGCTGCCTGAATACATTCTGCATAACAGTGAAGAGTGTGATATGATCCGAATGAAAAATGAAAAGAAAGAAAAAAAACAACTGAATTTTCATTCATCCTGCAGCTTCACAGCCAGCGGAATGTCTGCTGGCACACCCGAACTTCCCAACTGTGCTCCTGAGAGAATACATATCCCTGATGGTGAAATACAGAATGGCTGAACTCAAATATTTGGACACATTTTGAAAAGTGACCCTGCAAAGCGTCTGTGTTCTGAATGCATTAGCTTCAAAGAGAGGCTGATCGCAGTGCTGAATGCATCATCCCAGCAGGGGTGGGGGGGGGGGGGGGGCGTTGTCTCCCTCTCATCTTTGCAAAGTTCTTGTGAAACACCTGGCTGTGGAGGACAAAATAACCATAGCAGAAGAGACAAGTTCTGATAAGATTGCATGCCGAGCAAACCACCAGACCCTGCAGAGCCTGGCTAAATGCTTGGCCTGGATGTCAGGCTGCTGGATTTAAACAGTGGTGATAAGAGACATGCTTTCAGCTTTCAGATAAAGGGAACAGCTGCGTCTCTCCGCTCGCAGCACATTGTGCGTCCTTTTCATGGCGTCCAGCGTGAGGGTCACAGATGCCACTGCCAACCCTCTGGTGTCCATTAAGAGTCAACACAGCTGATCTGGCAGAGAGGGCTCCTCCCATGGGGCAGTCACTCATCATATGGCCAGTGGTGTTTAAAAAAATAAATCCCTCCCTTTGGCTACTTTGTTTTGAGCCGGGAAAACCTATGGATATAAACACACAGATTAAACCATGTTTACAACACATATACCATAAAGGTATTGACATATTTAACTCATGTGTTAAACCTATACAATCTTACCTTTTGGCTTAAATGATTCTGTGAGAGGGAGGCTGCAGCAGCATCCACTTTGAGGCATTTTCCCCAAATTTCCCACGGGACAGCGTTCACAGTCCACAGACCTCTGCTTCAAAAGAAGCGTCTGGTCATTCCAGATAGCCCTCAAACACATCCAGCTCCGTGTCCGTGTCGTAAGGGACAGACGCTGGGTCAGACAGCACCCCGAGGTCCACCAGCGCCTGGTCCATGTCCTCCGGCAGAAACACTATACCCACGTTCAGGACAATGTACTCCATCAAAAAGGCATAGTAGAGGATGAGGACGTTCACAAAGAACAGGCCCAAATAAAACATATATGGAAGTTCGTCAAAGAGCGATTCCACCGAATCTAGCTGGGCATAAACTGGGTGTGTCATAGAAAAAAAAAAGATAGACACGGGTCCTGGTGTCTGGAAGCTGTGGTCAAACCTTTGTTGGCACCGCTAGAAATCAGTTTGAGGTGATGGGACTGAGGAATCCATTTTGGCTCGTCTCGTCCTATAACTTGGTTAAGGAAGTTTTTGCTGGTATTTTATCTATCCGTCCCAGAAAAATATAAGGGGGAAGCTGGTAGATGAAAAGACGCAATGTTCATTGCTAATAATAATCCGCAGACAGTATCAAAATATCACGTTAGCTAGCTCAACAAAAACCGACTTTGCGTTTTCGGAATTCTCGCCATGCCAACTGGCTTGGGCTAAAATCGGTAGCGTGCAAGGTTAGCTGAACAAAACGCGAACATCTCTACTCGTAGATTCCCGAGAGTATTCTTACACATATCCTCGATTAAAGTGCACTATTCAAGGACACGTGTTTGTAGCTCATTTCAACGGCTAAATGTCGCTTCTAACATTTTTGCTAACTGCATCAAAACACAGCCGACCACAAACTGACACTTGAAGCCTCAGCGTGCGATTGGCTCACTGAAGAGCAAACTCCACTCTGGTTGGTCTCTCAGATGTCAATCAGTATCGTGGGCGTGAAAGAAAGTATTGTCGCGGGGTTTTATCGTCACTACTTACATTAAATGTTGTAGTTTTCATCCCTCACTTCCTCATCAAGCCTCATTGGTTTGGTTGTTCCGTAAAAACAGCAACTCCCAGATACCATCGGTGTGTTGAAGGCGTTACACAATGGTCACAGTGCTGCTATCACCGCCTGTCACCCCCTGTTTGCTAAGGAGGTATCCGCACAGAAGAGTAGGTACTATGGAGAGGTATAGCAATTAACCTTTACGAGGAAAAGAAACGCCTGGCGAAGCAGTAGCACCCTTAACATCGCAAACATGTTTGGCCGGTCACGGAGTTGGGTTGGAGGACAGGGGAAAGCGAAAAACATCCATTCCCTGGACCATTTGAAGTGAGTAGTTAGCATTACTTAGGCTAATGTTAGCCACATAATCACCAGTTGAAAACGACTTTCAGTGATCCCACTGGCATAACTAGTAACGATTTACGTAACAACAAACGCATTAATTCATTGTTTTACCCTTTGAATAGTAGTACATTTTCTTTGGTTCTTTAAAAAAAAAATATTAGATGTGGTTATCAAACGTAAGCTAGCATGCAAACGTTCCCAACAACCTATGCTAATAGGCTCTTGCAAAGTGCGAGTATTATATTATTGAATATTATCTACATGACCAAGCCTTAACATCAGCACGGGGGTAATTCATTAGGGATAATTAGCCCACAGAGGGGGTTAAAATGACCGTGGGATAAGCTGCAAGTGATCGGGTTGCTAGATTCCACGGACTTAACAGAGCGACTAAACTTCAAGTTGTCCGAGCCTAATAGATGCCTCAAATTAAGCATTAAAGTAGCGTTCAGTCAAGCATGGTCTGCACACGAAAGAGTACGTGACATTTCCTGTGCGGGTGTAGTTGTTAAGGTATGCTCTTTTGAGACCATATACATGGGAATAATAACTGAAGTAGTTTGATGAGTTTTATTTGAAATGATTGCGTTTAGTTGTCACCAGGATTTTCCGGGTAAATCTGATTCACTGGTGAGATGGATGCAATAGCCCCACATGATCACTGCAGGGTGTGTTTTTTCTGGAAACTGGCTGCTTTGTCACTAAAATTCAGTCAGTGCTTTGTATCTGAATATTTTGCATGCTTACGTTTGATAAACAACTGGAAATTGTATGAAATGCAAGTCTCTGAGTGAAAAAATAGCAGCTAACCTAATTCCGTTCAGGTTATTTATCACCACCTGATGCACAAACGCATACTTTGCTCTAATTTCTGTCATTGAACTTATGGGAAAATGTGAAAGTCAACCTGCAGTTTAGATTTAATAAACAAACAAAGTAATTCTGTAAGCTTTCAGAAACTTGAGTGAAAGTTCAGCTTATCCCGGTACGAAGAATGCCCTTCCGATATATTAGGAGACCAATTGGAGGACTGCACAACAGGAATGAGGGAAAAGAGAGTGGAAACTTGCAGGAACGGGCCATGAGTCAGACTCAAACCCGGCCAGCCTGCACAGGAGCACAGAGCCTCCAAACACAGGTCGCCCACTCAACCTGCTGAGTTAGACGGTTGCCCAAAGGGATATCTTACAGAGATATGAAAATATCTAGCTAAGATCGGACAACTTAGAGATACAATTTGCAATTCCCATTACCCATATGTTGTTCAACCAAACCTCATCAGAAAGGCTTTACATGGGGGGGTGGCTGTCAGAAAGCCTTTCTCAAAAAAGTGAAGTGGGAAGAAAAGACTAAGGAACACTAAATGACAAAAGATGGAGACTAAAGATCATTTAGGATCCAACAAAAATCTTTGGAATATAAATAAATAAGCCTGCAGAACTATACCAGACGAAACCTAAACCGATGACTACAAAGATTCTATTAATCTCGTCAGTGTTGGAAAAATAAAGGCGTTCACACTAACGTGAATTTTTCGAGTTTGTTAGCACTGCACAAACAATGTGTGTTCATGTATGTCTATACAAATACTGCAAGCATATCCCTAGTACCGTGTCCGGAAATAGAGAATGCTCTATAACACAGAATGAATGCACAACTGCAAACTTTAACCTGTTTTCTCTACACATCCTACTTTCAGATATATGTACCACGTCCTGACAAAAAACACCACTGTCACAGACCACAACAGAAACCTGCTGGTCGAGACCATCCGCTCCATCACAGAGATCCTCATCTGGGGGGACCAGAATGATAGCTCTGTGTTTGAGTAAGTCCCTGTCACTTTCTGTATGAACAACCCATTCTCTGTAGCTTCAGATTTCCAGATGTTTTGGCTCATGTCTATATCAGCTTTGGGATGTTTTTTTAAATCTAACACTTGCTTATGCTGAGAACCACACTCATAGCTATACCAAAGCAAAGGTGAACATTTGTATTTATTATCTCTTCTATTGTGGGTTCTTTCTATATCTAAGCATAATGAATAATTGGATTGAATGTCCACTCTCCTCAAGCCACAGTGGTGATACATTTAAAAGGACCTTCTTTTGTCCAACTACATTTTAGGATCGTGAGCAGAGTTCTTAATCTGTCTGTGTTTGCTTGCATTCAGCTTTTTCCTGGAGAAGAACATGTTCGCCTTCTTCTTGAACATCCTCCGTCAGAAGTCCGGTCGTTATGTGTGTGTCCAACTCCTCCAGACGCTCAACATACTTTTTGAAAACATCAGCCATGAGACCTCCTTGTGTAAGCATTAGCGTGTGCTTTAAAAACAGCTGTACTGGGCGGGTGGGTTTGGTTGCTGTGGCAGGTATAATTTTGGACCTGATTCGGTCTTAATGATAAAGACACCTGGCAGGAAGAGGCAGACAGCTGTGTGGTCACTGAGCTGACCGGCTGAAGCTGACGGACCGTTCCGCTCGTGCTTTGGATGAAGTGCTGTGTGCACTCAGCCACAAATGCTTTGTACTGAAACCATACAGCCGAACACACAGCGTCAGTCCAAACGTTCTGTTGTGATTTTAAAAAGTCACTGGTTTTTCAATATGATGGAGGGAATCTTGTTTCCCTGCCTTTTGTGTTTTGCTTTATTGATTTATACTAGAGCTTTTGCAGTTATTGAATCATTTGAAAATGCAAAGCTGTCAGAGTTTAGTGGGCAAATGCTGCTTTTAGTGGAACACGCTGTTTCTGTGTCTCTTCTTTCTGTCATGTATCAGGTTTCTTTCTTTCTAATATCTTGGCAGCTGACGATGCACAATCTTTTCTCCAACTCAAAGATGTGTCCTTGGTAGGATGGAGACTTGGCAACCACCTCTGAAAAAGATCCAACAGTATAATTACTGTTTTTGTGTCTGTTGTTTAAAGTCCACATGTGTTTGGGGGTTAAGATGGAAAAACCTTCATTGATAAAAGCCAAAGACCGACCTTTAATTTGGTCTGATGACAGATAGGCCAAGTTGTTGGATGCAAGAATGTTACCTAACCAGAATAAGTCTTTATCTGATAAACCATGTTTCCTCTGAACAATTCTGTCCACTGTATGGTTTGGTTTGATTGGGATCTCCTCCTCTCCACTTACAGATTATCTTCTGTCAAACAACCATGTCAACTCCATCATCGTTCACAAGTTTGATTTCTCAGATGAAGAGATCATGGCTTATTATATCTCATTCCTCAAGACTCTGTCACTCAAACTGAACAACCACACGGTGCACTTCTTCTACAATGAGGTGAGGCCATGAAGGGATGGGTGTGTGAGAGAAAGAAAGAGGGAAGTGGTGCTGAAACATTTAGATTAGTACAGTGGATGAACTGTGCCTATGCATGAAACTTCAATTTGACCCAAAGAAAAATTGAAATCTTCCCATGTTATTGTCGCGTTATACAAATGTGTTTAGATTATTTGTAGAAAATCTCGAGCTGTGTTTATCTTAAGCTGCTTGTGTTAGTTGGCCTCGTCGGGCCGTATCTCTACCTTTGCGTGCAGCACACTTCCTCTCAAACAGCAACTTCCTTTGAAGTTTGCTTGGTTTAGCCAACTCTGCAACACAGATGTTTCTCTTCAGATTGTTGAACACAAACCTTTCACCTAGGACACATATTAACTGTTATTTGGTGATGAATGTTAACTCAAGTTGTTCCCGACCTTGTTTCCGTTGGCCTGTGTGCACAGGGGGAAAGTTAATGGTGTACTGTTGCTGGAAGCTGTAGTCCTGAAGCCAAAAGCAAGCTTATTGTGTGGACCTGAGAGCACGTTTTCTTGTTTTCATCCTTTCGCCTTACTGTATTTTAAGTCACACAACAACCAGTGTAATTGTCATTCTTTTCTATTCATTTAAAAGTACACTGTGGAGTAAAGCTTATTATCCTCCAGATGGCGCCATTGGACTGCTGTCAGGTCCACACAAGTCAGATTTTTAAATCGAGAGTGCAACTCTTGGCTTGGCTTTGGTTTCAGGGTCACTTTCTTCATTTGCTGTGACTTCTGACTTCAATCCAGAGTTTAAACTGTGGTAATTTGAGGTCGCAGTGACTGAAGAATAGTTGTTTGGAGGACTCTTAGGCACTGGCACAGAGAGAGATGGCTGCAAATCTTAATCCATTTGTCTTATGGAGGGTTGTTATATTACATGATGAAATGCTAATTCTTTGAAGTAAGATTACTTTAATAATTGTATTACTTTAATTTATTTGGTCGTCTCTGTCATTTGTTAGTTAGTTTTTCTCAGAATACAGAAATTCTACTTTAGTGTTGGGGTAATTGTTTTACACCTCAACACAAATTTTCTTCCAGTGCAAATTGCTGCCCAGATTATTTTCAAGGGAAAGCGGATTGATCACTTAACTGTTCTCATCAAGTGCTCTAATCACGACAATGCCCAGGCATTTCTGTTCAGCTGCTTCTGTCTCTCTCTCTGTGCTCATTGGCGGCCTGAGTGTGGCGGCCTTGCTTACCGGCGCCCCCTCTCTGTCTCCCACACACAGCACACTAATGACTTTGCCCTGTACACCGAAGCAATTAAGTTTTTCAACCACCCTGAAAGCATGGTCCGCATCGCCGTCCGCACCATCACGCTCAACGTCTACAAAGGTGAGTGATGAGAGCGTGCATGCAAACCGCGCACGTGCGCAGACACACTCGGACCGGTGCAGGGGATGCTGGGACTTTCTGCCGCCTTTGTTTTCTGCTTCCAATTTCTTCCTACTGCTTCTTCTGGTGCATGAGCATGACTAACAGGTAACTTTGAAGTTTGATGGGGTTCTTTTTCTTCTTTTCTTTTTTTAATTCCTTGTTTGGCTGGCTTTGCTGTTTGCTCTTGTAGCAGGTAGAGAGGACATGCACATCAGGTCTGTTTTTAGAGATGGTCCTCCATGGAATATAGATGAATATTTGCTCCCATCTGAAGAATTACAACCTCTTTACCTGGATTATCTAAGAGAGGTGTCACAGTTATAGATAAAAGAACTGGGGCCTAAATATTTACTTACATTAAACATGTAGCTCAGCCAGAAGCTAACATGTGAGTATACCTGCACTCAGGTATAGAGTGCCTGTGGACTTAATGCGTTTCACGCTCACTGGGTAAATGCTTTGCTGAATAAATGTCTTCTGTTAGAGATTTCTCTACTTTTTATGATTTCTGACGGAGACAGTGATGCTTTGTACGTGCTCACACGCGGTGCTCCCTGCAGCTAACATTGTTGCAGATCTCTGTTGTTTCAGAACAGAAAGGCTTTGCTAACACTCTCTGCTGGCTTTGCTGCGCTTTGATTCATGAGCTTTTGCATCTCTCTGGGCTCCTCGGGGGACGATTCTGGCCTCTGCCACTCAGGGGAACAGTTTCTGTCCCGACATCATGATTACTTTCACAGTGCAGGTTGAAACAGGGTTCCAGGATGAAGTTTCTGAAATGCAGACTCCTCCTTAGTATCTGTTTTAGTCTGCATGTAATACTTTGTACCCAAAGATCTGCATTGTTGCATCGTCCATGACATTCTGATCCTGCAATTTACAGTTTTTTACTCTTAGGTGCAGTAATACAACGCATGTTTATTAGAAAAGGGGTAAATCATTGAATACGGTCAGTTCTCGCTGATCTCCCCATAAGTTATTGTTTAACATTTTGGGACAGCTGAAGACTGAGACTGTGTGAGTATGAACATGTCCACTGACTGAATACATTCACTGCAAAAAATGACTACCTGGGAGAGGATTTTTCCAGCACCTGGGTTGATTTATCAGTTTTTTGGGTTTGTCTTACTCTTAGTAGAAAAAAAAGTGGAACGCATCTTCAAAGGATTAAAACTCCTTTTCCAAGTTTGTCATTTTTTGCAGTTTATATGAGACCTGCGGGGTCTTTCCCAACCTCCACCCGTCCACAGCCGCCCCTCTACTCACATTAACCCTGTGTCTGTTTCCCCCCCCCTTTCCAAACACTCCTCCCGCTCTTCCTCTCCTTGTCTCTCTCCTCCTCTCCCTCTACGCGCCCCATCTGCCTAACTACAGTTTCATGTAAGTTGGTTCCATTCATTCAGTCTTTTTCTTGGGGCTGGGTATCCAGGCAACATGTTGAATGGATGTTGATGTACTGTTCAGAAATAACTTGATTTGACCATTTGAAAGATTCAAATGAGAATTAAAAAAAAAAAAGTAATGCCTTGTTTGTTGTTACCCAGCCCTTTTTGCTCCTGATGGTGTAACACGTTTTTATTGTATGGGTATTTGTGTTGTTGTATGTCACTTATCACCCATCTGCATACATGCAGAAAAACCTGCATGCTTGATTCTTTAGTTTTACTTCTTTAGTTTTTTTTTTCTTCCGGTCAAATTTTTCTGAATTCTTCCTTTTACTTGAGCTCCACTGGGTTGATGAGTTGTCAGTTTGGTCCCCATGACTATTTCCTAAAAAAAATGGTCTTCTGCCTACCTCAAAACAGGTGACTGCCAATCTTCTAAATCCACACCCACAGTTTTCTTAACTGTTTACACTAAGAAAATTGGCTTGATTGGCAAATATCTTCCAGCAGTTCATCAGCTTTCAGACGAAGAGCTTTATACTGATTTTGTTAAAAATGTATAAAAATGCTTTCCAAAGCTAATGAACACTCTTTGATGTGTAAAATTAGAGTGTTTCCAGCAGTTCGGTAGAACTGAACTAGTGTGGGTCCACATCTTCTTTTTTTAAAGGCAGTCCCTCTTTAGAAAGTTCAGACAGAAGAGCTGTTGGAAAATCTCAAGCTGCTGTAATTCCAGTAATTCCTTTTTTCCCCCCATTAATTTTCCCGGGACATTGGTTTGACCGGCTTTGTTTTTGTAATATGAACTTTACTGGTTAATTTGATTTATAGTCTAACTCACTTGTTTTGTTTTGTGTTTTGTTTTGTTCTTCTGATCATATCTAACTGTCACATTGTGGAATTTCCCTGGGATCTCAGTGTGCTAACAGATCTTTAACAGTGTCTGCTTTGGATATCTGTGGACAGCCGTGGTGACGAGTCTTGACCTTACTCTCTCCAGTGGACAACCAGCACATGCTGCACTACATTCGGGATAAGACAGCGGTTCCCTATTTCAGTAACTTGGTGTGGTTCATCGGTAGCCATGTCATTGAACTGGACAAGTGTGTGCAGACGGATGAAGAGTAAGTTCTTCTCACCTGTAGGGGGCACACTTCTGCTGGTTTTGTAGGCCTTGCCATATATAAGTCAACATCATCTTGTGTATTCTGCATCTTAAGGCAGATTTAGAAGTATTTGGGTTTATTAGCATCAGTGTCATCTTGACTTTTTAAATGTTGCTGTGTTGCAGGCATAAGAACAGAGGAAAGTTAAGTGACCTGGTAGCAGAGCACCTAGACCATCTCCACTACTTGAACGATATTCTCATCATCAACTGTGAATTCCTTAACGATGTGTTAACCGACCACCTCCTCAACCGGCTCTTCCTGCCCCTCTATGTGTACTCGCTGGTCAGTCCTGAGACGGTACGTCCACACCGAAGGCGTTTGAAATGCCCTCCACTACACCCGTCTGCAAATTTCCTTTCGTTCTTTTAAAGTCTGTTAATTCACTAAGTTGCGTATGGAAAAGAGAGAAATGAAAAAAGACCAGGCATGCATTTGTTTTCTCTTTTTCTTTGTGCATGTTTTGTTCTGTGGATCTGGTCATACTTTCTGAGGTCCTGAAATCATACTCCCTGAGCTATTACAAAACTTCCTCATCATACACAATGCCTCATAATGAAAGATACATTTTCCGAGTTACTCCATATCGGAGTTTTAAAAGTATTGAAACTCTAGAGTACCACGTTCCTGTAAGTATGCTCATGTGCAGAAGTCAAGCTGTCCACAGCGTCTCCTTCCGTCTTTATCTCATCAAATGTGGACATCCATCATAACCGGAATTATGTGCTATACCTTTGTATCAAATAAATGTGTCTGTTGCATATTCTCGATGTCTGTATTTGAAATGCCACTAAATAAGTTTCTAACTGCGTTGTTCAAATGTGTTTTGTGTCATATAGTCTGAAGAGCGGAAAATTAATCCTCAGGTGTCCCTCTACCTGCTCTCTCAAGTAAGCAACACACCCACACACTCAAACACACTCCTGATGCGACCAAACGTGGTGATTTGTTTTTCACCACAAAGAAGATTAGATATTTCACACTTGAAATGAAAAAAAGTCATATACTTTCAACTAATTTTACCTCCTTTTTTTCTTTAATGTTTAACCAGCGTTTTCTGAGAAGTTCAGTTAAAAGTCGTTTGTTTCTTTGCCAAGCGTTGCATATTTTGTGATGTAAATGCTTCGCATGTTTGCCTTCCAGGTCTTTCTGATCATCCACTATCGGCCACTGGTCAGCGCACTCGCAGATGTTATTCTCAATGGAGACCTGTCCGTCTTCACCTCACAGCCAGATGTGCACAGCATGCAGAAAACCACGGTAATGCGAACGCATAGCCATGTGTGACATATGCCCCCTGTCAACAATAGCCAGCCACCACCTAAAAAACACAAACAAACTTACACACGCATACCAATCTGCCCCATGTGAGCCATGCACGTGCCTTTTTTTTTTTAACACGAGCACAACTTTTTTACCCACTCGATGGTGTACGCTGTTTTCTTGTCACATGGAAAGTAACCCAAACACATATTGGGTGCTTAAACGAGAAGAGCACACCTACATATGCAGCCACACGCCAGAGTACCAGAACTGAGAGGGGGTGGTTATGAGATGTTCAGGGTCATTGGTTTCTATCCTTCACCCACATAAAAAATAACAAAATGCTAATTCCTTCACCTTTTTTTTTCCTTTTTTGAACACACCTTTTTTCTTTGTCAATTGAAAACATTTAACTCACTTTATTTCTGCAATATTGCCATCCTCTGAATGTCTGTACAGTCTTGTACTTTCCCTCTCCCATTTTTTACGTTTGTTCAACCTACCCCTAGTGTCCCCTTTTCTCCCCCAGCTGATTCCCCTCACCTCTCTTTTTCACTTTTTATTCTCTTCCTTTGATTCAGTTTCTCTTCCTCCATTGCCTCCCCCTCTCTTGTAGACTTTTTTGACCATCTGTTTGTATGGCAGGTGGGTGTGAAGAAGTTGTGAGCGTTTCTGAGAATCCTTGTGGTTATTGTCTGCTGTGTGTATGTGTTAATCTGTGGCTGTTGTAAGAAGCAGCCTACCTTTTAAGTGAATGTGACGTGAGGTGAGTTATCTTTACAGTTATGGTCAACCACAGAAAGAGAAGCCATACCCAAACTAGTTTCTGCATTTTATTTAGTTAAAATGTTTCCAAACATCAGAAACCATAGAAATGGTGTTCAATTATTTTCAAATTGAGGTGAGTCCACCCTGTTATTTTTTTAACCATCAATCCTATCTGCTCTATTTGGACTGTTCGGGCAGAAAAGCATCTTTTGACTTGTTCTTTTTATGCATTAAGTAGTCCAACAAACGTGTGGGCTGGCCACTATGTTGACTTTTCTTATGTACATAGATTTGACCTGTTCAACTGTCTTCTTTGTAAAATTTGAGTAGGTGATGTAAGATTTTCTAGTAATTGCTTTTTAATTCTCTTCATTTTCCTTTTTGTGTGTTTGGACTTTTGCCACATCAGATTGTTGTTATTGTTTGATTTATTTTTGATGAAAAGCCGTCAGATAAGGCACGGTGCCGTTTCTTGGCAGGTGGTGAAATGGCACTTCCTGTTTCTGTGATGTGGCAGGAACTTTGGTCACATGATGGAACACTGAGAGAGCAGGCTCACCAAACCCAAATCACTTTCCTGGAAGAAGTGTTTTCTGTTTTTTTGTTTTTTTTTGTTTTTTGCTCTCTGGCTTTTTTAGATGTATTTCTTGCACTTGCACCAGTTGGATACATAATGTCAGTATTTGCATAGTGGGTTGTTTTTCTTTTCTGGAGCAGGCTTACTTTACATTTATATGTACAGTTCGTCTTTGATCTGCAGAGGGTGTCCTATTTTGCAGTGCCGTGGAGTGCATGTGAATGCATGGCTTTGTGTGTAGGGCATGCTCCCTGACCTGCATTAATTTCTCAGCAGCGGCTGAGACTGAGCGGTTTACCAGAATATTGTCAGCAAGCAGGTGCAACACAGACACTAGTTTGTGGTTTATGTCTGAGAGCATGCACACTGTGAGCAGCAGCAAAAGGCACATCCACTTTTCTAGTCAGACCATCCACATAACATGGGTTACTTCTTCAGTCCGCCTGTAGGACCAAAGGTTTTTAGGCTTTATTGTAAATAAAGTTTAAAAAAAAAAAACAGTCAATTTAATCCAAAACAGAAACAATAAAACAAACAAAATCCTATTAAAGAATCCCTCAGTAATTGCTTCTCTTCTGGCCAGATTAAAAGGAAGCCTTTCTATTGAGCTTGATTGCTATGAGATCATTTTCCTCTCAGGAGATCAGAGAAAATTCAAAGGGGAGAACAAGAAGGGATGAAGTGAGTAGAGTAATAGGGAGGAAAAACAAGGATGCTATCATTACTTGTTTTTTGTGACTGAGTAGGAGTGATGCTGAGAAACCTCCAAGGAGTCCGTGCAAAGATTTAAGAATGAGTTGCAGACCTTTTATTTCAAACGCTAGAGCAGGTGAACACATCCCGTGCTCCAGCAGGGCAACATGCTCATGCCGATGGTGGTTCATGGTAACGCAAGAAGATGAAGTAAATGGGGCCACCTAGTTTCAATGTTCCCCGTAGTGTTCTCTAACAGAACTCAAACCTTTCAAGAAATGAAACCACTCAGGATCGTAGAGGATCCCAATGAGCACATTTGCATGGCACTAAATTAGAACAAGATTCCATTAGTCAGAGTAAAAGAGGGCTTTCAAAACGCATGCAAAACTGAAATCAGATCAAATCGCGTTTCTCAAAAGCCGACAGAGTCACTGCGGTCACACCTGTACCAACACCCTCCAACCTGTGTGCGTTCCACAGCACCTGTTTAAGGAAAAATGAAAGCATAAGTGCAATAGTACAGCCAGATTCCCTGTAAAGCTGCACTCATTTGCATATATATTTTTTTCATCTTTTCTTTTTTGGTAAAGTAAGACCGCACGTCAACTCAAATGCACGTATCCTAGCATTTTGTGGGAGACGTATATCTGGGTGTGTATTGTTGTTCAGACCTTTTGCCTGCGTGGGTTGCAGATATTTGACTGACCTCGCTCTCAACCGACTCCTGCATCTGTCAGCAATACTGGATGTGGAAAGTGACCTTGAATTAGAATTGAAGGTTTATTTCTGACTTTATTTCCCTGAAAACTACTTCAAGTACCCCCCCACCGCCCCGCCCCGCTTTCTTGGAAACTATTGAAAGACTATTTTAATGCACAACTCACCGTCAGCTTTACTGTTAATGACGTTTGATATCACTGCTCAGCATCTTATTATGGTGCCAGCTGCTTCCTGTTGGGTTGTGTTTGTATGATATAGAGCAAGTTTCTACGCTGTGCGAGAAGAAATTGCTTTTCTAATAAAGCTGGCCTCCAAGTGCTTCTTTGTGTACGTTGGCCGATGATTTTCTGTGAAACGGTTCATCATTTGTGGTAATGATCAGTTTTAGTTGGAAGCATTTACCCGTTCTGCCCGACCCTTTTAAATCCTGTGTCTGATTAATTGTTTTTGTTCTGCTACGTTTCCAGCGAAGGATTATAATGGTACTGCTTTCTGAAAACAGGTCTTCTGTTCCAAGTAGTAAGCATGTATGCATCATTCTCCAGAACTGAATCATCTCAGTTAGTAACCCATCCCCTTCTTCACTAAGCATCCATCTGTTTGCTCTAACGCCTGTTCCTAACAGGAGCCCTTTTTTTTTCTTTTTTTTTTTATAATCACCACTGAACAGACAGTCTGAAATATTGTTACAATGAAAAACTGTGCTTTCTTTGTTGTTCTCGCTTCCAGACATTCGATCCTACTCCTCAAATGTTTTTCTTTGCCCACTCTACTCCTGTCTCACCCAACAGGCCAGTGCAGGAGGAGTGCGCCGGTTCATCAAACCTCCAGAGTCTCTGGAGCGCTCTCTGGAGCTGTCCCGCCACCGAGGCCGCAAGAGAACACAGAAAAGGCCAAACTATAAGAACCTTGGCGAGGAGGAGGATGATGAGAGAGCAGGGGGAGGTGGCAGCAGTGGTGGAGGAGGACCAGAGGAGGGCTGGGATGATGACGGTGGCAGAGGAGCGGAGAGGGAGAAGGGAAAAGGTACAGAGGGAGGAAGTGTTGGGAGCTCTAAGGGAAGCAGAGCGAGTGGGGAGATGGCGGAAGGTGAGTGTGTGTCTCACTGAACACATCAGTACAGGACTGTGTTTGTGTTTCTCCTCTCCCATCAGTCAGACGTGTAACCTCCCATACAGCCGTGTCTGCCACCAATCACGTCTCGTGTCCAAACAGAAAAGAGAGAGCTCATTAAAAAAGAAAACAAGCTAATAAAGTGTCTCTAATAGAACGTGTTTTCAGCTTTATCGCTTTTTTTTTGTTGCTCATAACGTGACTGTCGTCTCTATGCTTACGCTGCAAAAATAAAAATATAGAATCCACAATAAAACATTTTAGGAAAGCAAAAGTTTGAGGCATTTGAAGAGGCCTCCCTCTTTCCCCTGTTTGGTACCTGATTTTCCCATTTTACAACTGATCACATTCAAAACAGCCATAGCAACAAACTGTCCATTCCCCCAGTGACACATCACCCATCCTGTGCTCCTCACCTTTCCGCCTGTCTCTCACTCCTGCTCTGAGTGTGCATGTGTGTGTGTTTGTTTGTTAGCACAGCATCAGTTTGCTTTAGTGTCGTTTTTAAGGGGACATTTCATTCATCTAAAATTCTTCCTTCTTAACCTTGAATCTTCGAAGCTTCCAAAGTCCTGAATCAGTTTGATTGCATTGGCTGTGGGCCAAAGATAAGAGCCGGTTTCATAATATGTGCAGTTTTAGCAAGCTGACTTAAAATTAGGAGGAAAATGAATCACTTGACTACAAAGTAACTGTGATGTGTTAACAGATTGGAATATTACTCAGGTTCCATACAGCCAGTTTAACCTGCTTTGGCTCAATACCGAGGAAACCCATGACATTTACACTGCACGTCATCGATTTCCAAACCGCAAAGGGAAAGAAGGAAGGAATGGCGGGCATCCATAGCCGTAGTGAGCGTGTTGCAGGCGAAGGCCAGCGTTGGTACGGGGGGGGGGCTTTGTCGTCGGTGGGAGTAAGTAGAATTGTTGTTTTTCTGTGCACAGAAATAGAGATGGTCGTGATGGAGAAGTGTAAGGTGTCGGAGCTGACGGAGCAGAACATCACCGACGAGGAGAAGACGGCGGCTGCAACCCGCACGCAATCACAGAGGAGCAGGTACGTGTCCACCACCCGGATGAAGCCTGACCCCGATCAGCCGGGCTCATTCCCGTGTCCCCCCCGGCAGACCCTTCTTAGACATGGTGTACAGTGCCCTGGACTGCACCGCCGATGACTACCACGCCCTGTTCGTCCTCTGCCTGCTGTATGCCGTCTCACACAGCAGAGGTAGGTCTTTGTGCCCACACGTTGTTCTGAGCTCAGTGCCCCCTCTGCAGTCATGAGTTTGTGCCGCCCTGCCGAGTGTCTGCCAGTAGCCGATGTTTCGGAATGTCACGGTTGCAAGCGCTTAAAAGTTTCAGTGGGGCAGAAATAGTTCTACTCAATAGCTCGCAACCCCCTTTTTTATTTTGTGTCACAGAGAGAGATGTTGGGGTGAAACGGGTGGGCAGTCTCTTTGTACCTTTCTACAGTCATTCGCAGATAGGCCTGCCTTTAATCTATGTCAGCCTGCTATTTTTAGGTTGTAGGTTGCTGCAACATAGGGAGATCTTAAAGATTAACGCTTACATGGCGAGAGAAGGGGAAGAAATGAGTGGCTGTCCAGCAGACAGATGGGTTGCTCTCCCTTGTCTCTGACATCATCAGTTCCCTGAAGCGTCTACGACAAGAAACAGTTCAAATCTAAAGGAATTACCAGCTCTAGGTGTTCTATCGCATCACTTGGATCACAGAGGTCTTTTTTGCTGTTTACTCATACTTCAAATACCTTCAAATATATTGCACGTTTAGACTCATACTCCATATGAATCTCATTAATGATTCTATTGTGCGTCTAACAAATTTTTTAAAAATTCTCAAATTCTTCAGTAATAGGATCCACCTGCACCACGTGGATTTAAGACAATTTATTCAGCTGGAAATGGTCAAATGTACCTTTTTTGTTTTTGTTCTCACCTCTTTCCGTAGAACTTTGTCAGCTGGATCTGTTACTTTTAGTCTGTTATAAGCCTAGATGCAGGGTTTGTTCGTTTTGTCTGAGATATGCGGTTCCAGGTTAGGGTTAGCACACAAATCCAGATTCACAAGACCCCACTCTGAACTTGCTTTCTCGCAGAGGTTTACTGGAAGTTTCATTTGTCTGCTTGACATTGGTCCTTCATCAGGTGTAAACCGTGACCTCCTGGAGCGTCTGCAGCTGCCCGTTCCAGACCAAGAGAGAAGCTCTTACAGTCTGGTGCTTGTAGAGAGACTGATAAGGGTTATGAACCAGGCAGCCCAACCAGGTAACACACACATTCCATCAGTGTCCTATACAATAGACTTAGCAATACAAAGCACTTCTGTTGCTCTTGATATGTTAGTAAGACCATATTTGAACAGGACATAAATTTCTGTGAATTTCCTTTAGCTTCGCCCAGCTACTGTGGAAATATTACACAATTTTTTTTAATGTATTTTATCTTTATGTTTTATTTTTTCTAGATGGGAAAGTCCGTCTTGCCACCCTGGAGCTAACCTGCCTTTTACTAAAGCAGTCCGTGCTGTCTGGAAACCACTGTATAATCAAAGATGTCCATCTGGCCTGCCTGGAGGTACAGCCCGCGCAAGCACACACACGGAGTTTTTAAATACACACAAACCAGTCAAAGCATGAGCTGTCCACAGGTAGCTGACAAATACAGGGCAGAACAAGCAAGTGAAAGTCAGGACATTGCTTTAACTGAAATGTTAAGCATTTACTTTCCATACACATTTTTGACTTCCTCAGAATTTAGAGCGGTGCTGTCATTCGGGAATTACCAAGGTGTCACGACCCGAGAGACGATTGTTTAAATCCTGCTCCTTGCCCTGGTCTAGTGCTCTGCCCAATACTTCACATTCCTGACCTCTGACTGCTCTTTCTCTGTGTCTTTCACACTATTTGATAGATTTTTGCTTTCATTCTGGGAAAGCATCCACTTCCTTGCGTGTCACTTCACTGAAATCACCCCCCCACCACCACCACCACCTTTTCTTTCTCACGACTTCCAGGAAGTTGCTGTACAGCTGTCTATTCATTATTCAGTAGTTGACAAGGTTCATTGTTTCATCTAAATTTGAATTTTTGAGTTTGTCTTTATGGAATAATGTTTGTCAACCGGCCCGGTGAGGTTCTATTTACTATTTGTATCAGTGGGCAATGGGGACTTCCCCACCTCCGTCACAGTAAGATTAAAGAAGAGACCAGTTAGTCCTGAAAATTTGATGTTGGTGGTTTCTGCAAGCAATTGGGACTATTTGTTGCTCCGGTTTTATTTAGCTTAGTCTCTTAGTCTCTTGATCTGTGAAAGCGAAACACCAGAAATCTGACTTGATAAGCTATTATGGGGTGATGGCTTTAGCAGTCCAAACACCGCTGGTGCCCTCTTCGCCTGGCTGTGGGAAAATGCGGATAATGTCACCGACGTTTCTGATGTACAACACGTATTACCAGTCACGCATCACTTCTTATGTTGAAAGGTGGTCATAAATCATGTCATAATGCTTTGGTTGTAGACTCATAACACCAGGAAGATATGCGTGTTCATTATCAAAGGATCAGTCGTTACAGGAGTGACAACATCATATTTGCAGTTTAACATCTCAGACACCTGTTAATTATGGCTCTCATTCCAGTGAGTCTGTGTGTGTGCAAGTCAGCATTCCTAAGAAGCTGCGATCAGTAAAAGCATATTTAACATATCAAACCTGCTCTGATGAGCTGTATTCTTATTGGCTTGTTTAGTTTTGCTTTTGGTCTTTTATTTGTAATTTCAGAGATCGTTCATTTATTTATTTTTTGCATAAAGGATCTTTTTTCCTCAGTCTATTTTTCTTAATGATCCTCTACACGGGGTTTCATGGCAGTACTGGCATATGATTACATATGATCCCTTTCTTATCAACCGGGGGCTTCCTGCAGCCTTCACTAGTTGGAAGAAGTCAACCAGTGGCTTGATTAAATCCTGTGCCCATTCCCAGACAGACATTTATTTTTTTTAACATATTATTGATTGAAACGTGTGCTAAAAGATTATCCAGACTGTCATGTTTTTCTTTGCAGGGTGCCCGAGAGGAGAGTCTGCATTTACTGCGAAGATTCTACAAGGTAATTGTTCAGTTTAGCCATTTGTGAACCGAGTGCTGATGCACCACTAGGCATTAGACTTGACCCCCCATCTCCCTCTGACACACACAAACAGCCCATGGGCAGGAAAAAAAGTGTCAAAGAGTGCACGGCTGGATCACGTTGCAAAAGACTCTATGTTCCTATACTTCTGACTTCTGTTGCATAATGGTTATTGTTGCTCTCTTGTCAGACATGAGCAGTTTGCCAGGATGGTTGTCGGTTATTTAACGAGAAGGGACAAAGGGGAAATGGAACACCAGAACTTCTTGTGTTACACCCATTCATTTCTTCCTTTGTTTGTGTCAAAACACAAACCTACCTACCTGTCAGGTCTGGTATACAAAGGTTGCAGCTTGTAAACTAAAGTAAAACCTGTCTGTGTTTGTGCTCACTGACTGTAAGTGCAGTCATTTCTTTGAAAATATGGCAACCGAAAAAGTGCTTTCTGTTTCACTTTGGTTATCTTTGGATATCAGTTGTGGAATTACTGGAGTCGAATTTGACCTTTCGTAAGTACCTTCTTGATGACTTATGGCTGCAGTCCTCCAGCAGCCAAAGGTCACATGGGTGTTCATGGGACAGGCACCACCGTGTTTATGCATGTGCCAAAGCATTTGTAAGGGGATGTCCTTTGAATTCCTCCTCAGCATCCACAGTCACGTGTGTAATGGAGTCACATGTCTGTATGGGACTCTTACTATCGTGTTTACAAGAAGGGGGGCTGTTGTAGTTTCATTTTTCCAGATACGGCACAGTTGTTTTTGAAAGTCTGTGATTGCGTAAAAAGCTGTAGCACAGTCTCATGGTTACAGTGTTAAGCAATCGAGTTTGACCGCAAATATGAAGAACATTTATCCATCATCGGAGCATGAAGTGACATTTACCTGCCACTGGCTAAACAGCACATGTACTCCATGTATTGATTAATTTGTATAGTTTTGTCCCACACCAATTTAGTTTTGTTATGATCTATCAATAGACTTATCATATGCCAAGGTTTCACACAAAAATAGCATCAAACACATAAAGAAAAAGTTTATTTTTTTTACTAATTTGCTGTCTGCTCATCTTAGCATGACACTGTGGTACAGAGAGAGAGAAAAGATTAAAGGTGGACTTCTTGTGAAATAGTGCATAATGAAAGTTTCAGTAGTGACTGAAACCTTTTGTTTTTGAGAGTCACCAAGCTCTGGTTCAGTTACCCTTTTTGTTTCTATGACCCCAAAGTCAGTAACAGAAAATAACAAAACCATAAAGAATCAACGTCCCAGCTGTTGATGATGTAGAAATGAGCTGAGTTTAGCCATGAGTCACATTTTCAACTTATTGTCTTTCATTATTTTAAATATAAGCTGTCATTTCTATCACCACAGGGGGAAGAAATCTTTCTCGACATGTTTGAAGATGAATACAGAAGCATGACGGTTGGTTGTGTTTGTCTTAACTCTTCATTTAATTAAAAATTAAGCTGTCTGTCAATGTGTGTGGACGTTTTTTGTACATTAGGTCCCTGTTTACTAATCCCCATGTGTTTGCTGCAGAGCAAGCCGCTGAACGTGGAGTATTTGATGATGGATGCATCCATACTGCTCCCACCAACGGGCACCCCTCTGACGGGCATTGACTTTGTGAAGAGACTGCCATGTGGGGATGTGGAGAAAACTCGCAGGGTGCGTCCACACACGCTCAAACTGACATGTCCCCGAAGGCTTGAGATATTTGTAGATTCCTGACAAAGCAGATGATTTCACTGGAAAAATGGATGAGGAAATTGAGCCGTTTCTTCACTTTGAATTAGTAATATGCGATCACATCACAGTTCATTCCTGTTTAACAAAAATAAATGTTAAGGCCAAAATATTTTTAGAGGCGTTTCTGTCCCATTGACTGTGGGAATGTCTAAACTTTCCTCAAAGAGGTTCACTTTGTTTGTTGTAACTTTGAGACGGGTCATGCGTTTTGAAGTTGAATTTTTCTGTGCGCTTTTTGTCTGCCCTCTTCTGCCCTCACTCAGGCGATTCGAGTGTTCTTCATGCTGAGGTCCTTGTCACTTCACCTTCAGGGAGAGCCTGAGACTCAGCTCCCTCTGACCAGACCTGAGGACCTTATCAAGATGGATGACGTCTTAGACCTCAGTAAGGCACAAAGGTCCACAGTAATTCTTCATGCCAGAAGATGCTTAATGCCTTCATTCTTTTGTTTTGTTTTAGTAATCTTTTGAATCATAGGAAACTTTAGGTTAGATTTTCTCCCTAACAAACAATAAGAAGGAAAATGGCAAACAAACCTAAAATTCTTATAAAAGGAGTTTGTTAATCGTCAGTTACGCTATAGATCCTCTTTAAGAAGAAGAGTCTAACCATAACCAGTGTATGTAAACATTAACCCCACCGCACACGGACGCCCTTCAGACATGTTTTCATAACCTGAACATGTTTTTCCTCGCAGAGCCCAGGTGTGAAGTCAATGCTATAGAAACCCACATGTGGTTTGTGCCTTTATAGTGCATATTTCAGGTTTTAGCTGCACGGCAGCTTTAACCGGAGTGATGACGCTGTCTCATTCTCTCTGTGGCAATCTCTGCTACGCCATGTATGCACTTTTCTCTCTTTTTCTTATCCTTGCATGCATGTGTATGTCTCTGCCTTTGGCTTTACCCTGGTGTTCTCATCATAACAAACTTATTGTGCAAGAAACTTTAGTTATTATTAGTAAACCGGTACATTCAGGCACATCTGAAAACAATCTGGTACATTTCACAGCAGGTTAGTGGGATACGGCAGATGGAAATTCCTAAAGAATCCATCGGTTCAGCCTTCTGAACAGGAGAACTGAGTTTAAGGTTCTCATTAAAGGGGGTAAAAAGTTTATAACCAGAGCATTAACTTTGTGGATAGGAAACAGGAGGTGACCCCAAGAAGGAAGTTCTGACTAAAAACATAGATGGTAATAATGAAAGCAAATAAATTACAACAACTGAAGCTACTACAAAAGAAAAAAGTATAAGAAACAGAACATTCCATTACAACCTCTACAACACAATATTAGCACAAAAGAGAGCTATCCCCATCAGTAGAGGCATCCATTTTCCACTGCTCATTCCACATTATTGGCCGCTGGTTGTAATGATCTAATAATGTAACAATCACCTCCAAGGAAGAGCGATGTAAGAAACGGTCTTCAATGGATTTCCTCTGAAAGAGATTTGCTATTGGAAGTCCAAACCTTCATAGTATGTTATAGATATTTTTATAGCTTTTATCAAACAGGGAAAGGTCGAACTTTTGTGAATTAAATCTCTTTTTGAGTGTCCTCTTTTAGCATTTATGACACAGTTACATATCATGATTGACATTGGTGATACATGTACATCAAGGATGATATTGAAGCAATAAGATAATAGAGGCTCTAAACTGAACTTATTTTGTTAAGTAATCAGAAATGGAAGGTCAAACCAGGGCAACTATGACAGCCAGAGCATTTGTACCTGATAATTCTGTCTCTAGATGTTAGGGATTCTTGGCTGCCAACACAGGGAGCATCCACATTTAAATGTGCTTTTTTTATAATTCAGCCTTGGCATCGGGGATGACTGAGAAAAAACGCGTAGAGTGAGTAATCTACTGACTTTGATAAAAGAAAAAAACATAATTACAGTTGAGAGGGCAATGATTCCCTCTGTATGTTTCTCATTGGATAATATCAGGTATGACATCTGTGCCATCTCCCTCACGGTGATTTATTTAAATTTTCAATATTGAATCATATTCAAAACAATAAATGATAACATTTGTTTTTGTGAATGACTTTAGGCCCCTAACCTGCCCTAAAACTGAATGCAAACAAAAGTGGCTGCATCTAATGATCAAATATCCTATTTTGAATAGTCAGACCTTTTCTTTCCACTCAGTGGTGGTGAATTTGCCATCTGTACCAAATGTGGGTGGTCATGCCCTTTGAATTCTATCATTGCATCTGTGTTGAGTCAGCAGGAGTTTCTGTGCTTTTTGGAAATGAATCTTCTGGGTGAATAATGATAGAAACCTGTGGCTTGATTGATGGAACAAACCATAATCAGTGTTGCTATTGATTGATTTTTTACATTTGAACGACGAGAGATGAGTTGATCTGTATAGATAACTCTTTATCTATTTTTTTTCTCTAAGTGAAAAAAAACCTTGATGGAAGATGAAAAGCAAATTTTCAGGTCTTGACTCGCATGTCAAAACTGCGCTGGTTTGGATGATTCCAAATGCCAGTAGAATGATGGCGTGTCAGATCTGGGTCGAGACACTTTCTGAGATCAGACAACAAAAGATCATCTCAAACAATCCGTTTGGTGATAATGATTTGATGTCTTACTTTAAATTCTACAGAAGTGTAATTTTAAAAAAGACTTTCCTAAGTTGACTTTACTTGTAAGCAGGGCGGTTGACTAAGAACGGTCTCTTACAGACAGAGAGAAGGTGGGTTTTTCCTTCGATGTGGGTGGGTGGGAAATCTGCAACCTTACGCCCACAGGTCTTTTTCTGACCATTAGACTCCCCCTGTCTTCACTTCACAACTCACCACATCATCTATTAACTGATGAATCATACAGCCTTTCCACGCGTCTGTATCCCTGTGTTGTAGATGCGAAGTCATGCATTTGTGGTCGCCTAAATTTTGAAAGTATGACCCACTGGGCCTCGTCCTGGTTTTACTTGGAAGCCCAGTGGTCTGCCAAGGGCCAGATCTCAAAAAGATTTAATGCTGAAATAACACATCTAAATGTATTTATTTCTTTTTTGTTAGGATAACCTTCTGTTTCTAATGGCTCTAAAGTTTACTTGTAATTAATCACCCAAAAGGTTAGACTTTCTTTTAACGAAAAAATTAAGACAGTCATTTAGAATCACACCTATGAATGGAGCCAGTCTATTGTGGGTGTCAGTTATGTTTCCCCTCACATGCTGGCCAGGGAAGACCGACTGGTGCTTTTTTTTTAAATTTATTTATTATTTTTTTTTGTGGTTTCATTCGGTAGCTGATGTCATTTAGTTTTTTTTTTTTCTTGTTTTACTTTCTTTGCCATCCAGATTTTTTTTTTTAAAGAGAGAATGAAACCACAGGGAACCACAATGTCAAATAGCTTCCTCTTTCTTGGAGAGGAATGTAAAACATCACTTGACTAATAGGTGAATGTGGTGTACTTACCGAATGAGACTAAGTCTGTCACAGCGGTGTTTCCCTGCAGTTTGACATTCACTACCAAAATACTGGTTAAGTGGCCCTGGGGAAAAAAAAGTCATGCCTGTTCTTGCTCACCTAAGAATGGGAGTTATATTGTAACAACATATATTATCGAGAAAAATAAATGAAGCATACGGCGATCGTTAAATTGTCCGGTTTAGTCACTACACAGTTCATGCTTAGCCCTGATGAGCTGAATTTCAGTTACAGTTCCTCACATTACCCATTTCACAAAGGTAACAAACTTAAGTTCCCTGCTGTATCAATTTACGTTTTTTTGTTTTTTTTTACCAAAAGGGGCATAAACTACAAAGTATGGAGCAGGTAAAGAGTGACTTGGCCTGGGTGAGAATAATGAGCACTTTAAATCCTAACCATCTCCTCCAGGTGCGTTGGTGATAACAATTTTCTTCTTTACGCTCTTCAAAAGTAGTTATTAACGTCACATTCGTTCATCCAGAGAATAAAAGTTTCAATTTCCTCCTCCGCTGCCTTGCATCCACATCCTCTGGATTTGGTTTCGTACTCTGTGCATTGCTTGAACTGTGCATACGTTTGTGTGATGCTACAAATACAGAAACTAAACAATCAGAGGTCACAGCCACTGTTGTGCAATTAAAGTTTAGAAAACTTCGAAGGTGGTGGGGTTTTTTTCCAAACTCTTCCGGGGATCGATGGTCCAAGTTCCCCCAAATTTCTTTAGCTGTTAGTATGCCCTTGTTACCATGGAAAGTTGAGGAGTCCTCCCCCAGCTGGAGGTACTTTTTTTGCTTTCAGCTTCAGTAGTTGTCGTTCAGTTCCTGGAAACCCTCTTTGATCTTTTCATAGGCCACATGTATGACAGATTGAGGCTTCTTGGTATTCCACATGTGCCTGATGGAAACAGCATTGGTATTACTTACTATTCAGGTACTGTTGGGACCTGAAAGTGGCAAAATTTCAACTCTAGTGTGAGGATCCATCAAGTTTTTTCTGCCATGGCACTAGTTACAATTTAAAATAGTTGAGTCATTATAAAAGGCATTCAATTGTACAAAGTTAGGCATATCAGAGACTGGAGTAGAAGAACCTCTTGTGGACTTGGTTAACATTTAGAGTCAGTCAAACCAAAACCAGCAGTGTTAGATAAGGCAAGAAGTAGTTGCAGATTGTGTGTTCAACAGGGTAGAAGGCTTTGTGGTTCACTTAAGTGAAGGTGTGGGCCTGTTGTTTCTTTGTGCTCCTCTCAGACACGTGGGCACAGCACGTGGGAGCAAGACAGCCTCTCCGTTCTTTTAAGTGTGTCTAGTTGTCTGTCTGCTTTTTTGTGTGTGTTTGTGTGTGTTTTCCCTTCTGCATTTAAACATATTGTGTGGACACCATATTTTACATCAAATCTGAAAGTAAAAGTTGACTCAGCAGGAGAAACATCATCTCATCTCAAATATACACTAAATACTGAGTCAGAAATGATCAATGCTTCAGGATTAGTGCTATGCTTAAGTCTCAGGAGACCACTGTTTAGTTTCAGAGTGGCATTATAGGCCATATAGTAAGTTAGATTTTTCTGAGAAGGATGATTTATGTGGGTAAAGTTTTCAATTTCTGAACTTGACCTGAAAGGTTAAACATCATATTCAGTATTTTCTCAGAGGGTTGAGGAGCATATCTGATGCGGGTCTTTTTCTTTTTGTCAGACAACAGTGACCTAATTGCCTGCATGGTGGTCAGCAAAGACGGCGGCCAATCCCAGAGATTCCTGGCTGTGGACATCTACCAGATGAGTCTGGTGGAACCAGAAACCAAACGTCTTGGATGGGGCGTCGTCAAGTTCGCTGGCCTTTTGCAAGTAAGTGAAAGGTTCTGTTTGTTTTTCAGATCCCTTTCTTAGCATAAGAGTTATTTATGGGAAACTGTATTCTTTTAGTTAATGCTCCTTATCTGCCCTGTCCATAACCTCAACAGTAATCAGCATCATCAGTAGCATTTGTCCTTCCTGTTCCTCATCATTTCTCTTCTCTTTAACTTATCACAGTCCTGATTTTGGTTTTCAGCATTTTCAGCCTCTTTTTATTTTCCCTGGAAATTGACCTCAATAAAGTTTCCAGAAAGTGATTTTTGGGGAATTCTAGCTCCCAGGAAAAGCCAGTGCTGTCAGATACTCAAATAAGTTACAGCAAAACTGATGGGAGTTTTTTTTTATTCATTAATAGGTAACTTTTGTGAAACTGCTTGTTTAAATAGAAAAAAGTGAGTCTCGTGAGAATATTTTCTTTTCCTCATCTTAAGCCTGAATTTTAAGTGTCATGTTCCATGATGCTTATTTTTGTAATTGAATCCATTCACCCACTTACTGTGTTCTTTTCTCTTTTGTTATCTGTGTTTTTTTCCTCCTCTCTGTACTGGAATTTGAACTCTCACACTCGTTTCCTCACTCTCTCCTTCGACAGGACATGCAGGTGTCGGGTGTTGAGGATGACAGCCGAGCTTTGAACATTGTTATTCACAAGCCCAGCTCCAACCCCCATGCCAAGCCTCTGCCCATCCTGCAGGCTACCTTCATCTTTGCTGACCACATCCGCTGCATCATCGCGAAGCAGAGATTGGCCAAAGGTCGCATTCAGGCACGACGCATGAAGATGCAGAGGATCGCAGGTGAAAGAACACAAGCACTTTGTGACGGTCCAAGTGGGTCTCTCTGGATAAGCTGAGTGTCTGAGAAGCTGTCTTAGAAATATTCAGGACAGTAGAATTATCATTTGAAAAAAAATAAGCGAAACTACTGTACGGTGCTAATCTTAGGTAGGAGCATCATATTATGTAATTTCCCTGAATGATGATTTTTGTTCCTGCTAAATTCTTAAAAATGGCTTGTTTCGGTCTGGCCGTTTTCTGTTCCTGTGCTTCCATCGTCCCTGATGACGACAGAAAGTGTCGTCAAAGCACAGCTGTGGTCAGAAAAATGGTCAGAAAAAGACAGCTTAGCATAGCTTAAACCATTTTCAGGATCTGAACACTGCTTCTTTTATTACTTTTAGCTTCTGTTTGAGACGCTTTAAATACTTTAGTTGGGAGCATAAACTTGTGTGTCCTGGACGTAAACATTTTCAGTATGTTTTTTTCTTTGTACTTTAAATCTGACGCTATCTGCCACACTTCCCCTTTCTATAGCTTCATTCTTTAGAAAAATACACAAAACTTACACGTGTATGAAAGTCTGCTAAAGCAGCAGATCAAAGAGGATGTGAATCCTGTCAGAATTAACCGCTGCATACAAAACCAAATTCTTTCCCAACACATTCATAGACCCACAGTTCTTGTTGACATTCTTAAATTTCAACCAGAGCAACACATTAAATAAAAAGGTCACACTTTGGTTCTTTCCAGTAGCATGAATTTGTCCCAGAGGTTTCTGTTACCCTGTTCACTCTTTGTGTATTCAGCTCTCCTGGACCTGCCGGTGCAGCCCAGTGCGACAGAGGTGTTGGGTTTCGGTCAGACAGCCAGCGCATCACCCAGCGGCCTGCCTTTCCGCTTTTACGAGCAGTCCAGGCGGGCCCCCAATGACCCCACAGCAAACCGAACTGTGTTTGCCTCGGTGGATAAAGTGCCAGGTGACATTCAGAGACGCACACTGTAACCATTCATGCAGAAATCGTACAGATACGGCTCAGACAGTTGCTTTTGGAAAGTGGTCGTTAAAAGTTCAGTGGTAAAGATTAAGGATTTTTTTTTTTTTTTAAATGCATATCAGCAGAGCAAAGCTCATATTTTCTTGTTAGTTACTCATTAACACATTCTATATAATATTCCAGGAAACGGGTAGTAAAAATGCTTTTCTTTCTGTTCTTGATTTGTTTAGTGTATCTTTATCTGCAGTTTGGCAGATGTCCCCACGGAAATAATTAGATAGGGGCAGAGTCCTTGAATGTGCCAGGAATGTCCCATAACTTCCTCAGAAATGGCAGAATCACTGTTTGTCACACGAGGTCGGAGAGCTGAAGTTGTCTGACTAAACAAAGACGCTCTCAGTGACGCGCGTGTGTGTTTTCGTGTGGCCTCATCTGCAGGTTTCGCCGTGGCTCACTGCGTGTCACAGCACAGCCCCTCGCCCCTCCCCTCCCCCTCGCCTCCCTCCAGTGGAAGCGGGAGCACAGGAAGATGCGACTCGGCCACGGCCAGCACCACATCGGCACAGAGCCCCACAGGTGGCACTCCTTCAAGTCACACACACAAGGGGAGAGGCACACACTGTTAATGATAAACGGGAGTCAGGTGGACGACAGACCCCGCTGTCGAGATATTCAGTCATAACAACGCAGCGTTCCCTAAAAAGCGTCTGAAGCTCAGGTGTCTGTGCACCACTCTTCACAAGAGGCTTGTTTGTAACTATGGGGCATACGTACGCAAACCACCAAAACCACGGCACTTTGTGAAGGTGTTTCACAGAGACGGCTACTTGTCCTATAGATGTGTGTATGTGGTGTGTGAGAGTATATGTCAACACATGGTGCCCTTCGACCTACATATGGTGTCAGCTGTACAGTATAAAATAGGAAGGCGGGGACGGAAACGTCCTCCCCCTGCCATGAGAGAGCCGTCTCCTTCTAAGGGCTACATCTCCCCACCGGTCCAAGAGGTTTTAAGAATGTTCTCCTCACTCTTAATTTCGTCTTCCCCTTAGATGACGGTGCGTTTTTGGAGCACACCCCGCCCTCTTCCTCAGGCGGAGAAAGTGAAGCAGGAGGCGGAGAAGTAACTGTAGTTTCCTCTGCCCCAGTGCTGGCTCCCGCTTTGGCGCCAAGCCTCACTCCGGCCGCGCAGCCCACCATCTCCCTGCTGACCGACGGCAGCGCCGACGCCCTGAGCGTGGAGTCCCTCACGCTGCTGCCCCCGGCCGACCCGCCGCGCCTGCACCCGTGCGCCGCCGCCGCCCTCCCCCTGCACAGGCCGGACGCCAGCATCGCCGAGGAAGCGGAGGAGGAAGAGCGAGACGGGAACGGAGAGGAAAGAGGAGAGGAGGAAGGGTCGCCGACGGACGGGACCGAGACGGAGGCCACTGTAAAAGAGGAGACAGCGGAGGGGCTCACGCCCACCCACCAGGACGCTCCCGCCGATGGAGAGGACTCACCAGGGCCTGATCTGGCAACAGAAGACTCAGAGTTTGGCTCCGAAACACCAGACTCACCTGAGCTGGATTAGGAGACTGGGTCAGCTTTATGCACTTCACACACACACACACACACACACACAGGACGGCGCAGAGCAGCATCCAGCTGGCCTGCAGCGTGCTTCACGTTGCTGCCCGTTGGGACTGTCTGTTGTAAATAACCTTCATCTCATCATCGGTGTTTGCACATGAAGAACGACTCTTTGTACTCCCAGAGAGACGAGACAGACGGTGGTCAAAGTCCAGGATGGCTCCAAGCACATCTGGGTGTCTGTGCACTCCAGTGTGTGGGGGGTTGGGTTTTAGCACGCAACCAGCAACCTTTTTCTACTCCTCCGATTGTGCGTCAGCTCCAGTATGCACACACTCACCTCATGCTAATTCTGTGAGCCATTCGCCTCCTTTCTAAAGACCTAATCTTTGCTTGACATGACAGATCACCACTTTGGCTATTTTCTGTCTTTCTCACACAGAACATGTTTCTCGGCATTCCTCGTTTCGCTATCGCGTCTAAGATCCATTAGCAGCTACTGCCAAGCCTGTGCTTTGTCCTAATAGTCCAGCTTTCTTTCCTCTTCTTAAGATACCTTCTGATAGTTTCTGGCGACCTCAGCCAGGAGGGAACGGTCCTCAAACTGAAAACAGCGTGACGCTAACAGAGTGGCCATCTTGTTCTCTCATTTGAATCAATTAATTATGGACACATCCATAACTGTATGAAAGCTTTCATTTCAAATCAATACATGAAATCCTGCCTGGAAAGGAATGTGTTTATTGACACAGTTCAACAGTCGCCCCCGTTACTCACCAAATAAGATTGATTCATATGAAAGAAATCTGGCTGTGTAAGTGCCAACCACAATTCATAGCCTTCTTTTCCATCCATGCATTAATTCATTCATTCATTCTTTGCAAAACCACTAACTGACAGAACTGGATAAATGTCTGGTGACTATTGCAAATATATTTGTGATGATAAAAGTGTAAGATTCTGTGAAAAAGCCACCTAAAGGCCTGCCTCCCGGCCGGGCTCCACACTTAACAGCCGGAACATTACAGCTGAATGTACCTGCCATATACCTCTGCGGGTCTGACATGTAACGTGTTCGTAGCGAGCCGTTTCTAGAGCGAGAAAAATCCTTTTGTTCAAATCTGTGGGGTTCTTTTTCAGTCCAGCTCCCGGTGTGGCCTCAGGTAGTGGTTAAAGTTCACCAAGGCGTTTTGTGTTTGTTGGGTTGTACTGTGGGTTCACGTTTGTGGTTAAAAGCGTGATTTGTTTAGACGCCACTGAGACAAAAGGAGCCATTGCTTCAGTTTTAAAGAAACCCAGATGCCACCCTGAGGTAAAAGTGGAGGGGAATCCCTCCTTGGTGTCCTCCTTACTACGATGAATGATGCTTTACATCTGCAATAATTTTAAGAGCTAACCAGTGAGGGGGAGGGATGAATGTAACAAATGGCTTCTCTCTCTGAGCAGCAGTGGTTTTTTCTTCTTTAATAGTCATTGCTATGCTGCGTTTAACCTTGGATCTTAACTTGATTTAGACATTTTTAGGAACAAAGCACACTCGCATTCAGGCTTTTCCCTTCCCTCTCCCCAGCCCTTCATTTAATTACGTTGATTTTCACTTTCCTGTGCCATCCCAACACAATTCAAGTCTTACTGCTCCGTCGCCCTTATTTTTTTCCACGACGCTCACCTTCCTTAACCAGTTTATAGCTAAGAAATTCCGAGCAATACTCTGTTTTATGAGTGAGTCTCTTGATATTTCCGCCGTGCTACTGTAAATAGCAGCAGAGTGACGGTGAGGGTCTCTGACCTGCTGAGGGGGCTTGGCACAGTTTGTAGAGTTGATCAGAGGGGTGTGTTGGGAACACGCTGCCTTCTGGGAACCTTCACGGGCCTCCGTCATTATCTGATTGTAGTGAGCGTGAGTATGTTATATATTTGTATTCTATGTAAATGCTGTGTGCTTTTAAACTTGTAATTATTGTTAATGAACTGAAAGAGGATAAAATAAAGAACTGCAATAAATTATTCTACTTAACAACAGCGTGTGAGGCTGTACTCATCCGCCCCCTCCTCGTGATCGCGGTTCAAAACTATTACTACAGCCCCCCCCCCCCCCCCCCACCCACCCACACACACACCCCCACACAAAGTAAAAAAGGGGGCACGGTTACAGTTCTAATAATAGATTTAAAATTGAATTTTTAACAAAAGTGGGTGTTAAAGGTTCATATTTTCCCGTTTGTCTGTTTTATCATTTAAAATTTACAGCCTGAAAAGGGTGAAGCTCCAGAAGAAAGCCACTTAAAGGCTGTTTTTCTTCAGAGGGAAAGTGGCTGAATGCTTGGCAGCTCTCAGAACAAGTGTAAACATTGTCTCATGAGAATTCGAGCCCGCTTGTAGCCGATGACGGTGACGTGTCCCCTGCTTGCCTGTGGCTGCTGCTGAGGCCCTCTGTCATCTTGTGGTCTGTACGTGTTATCATGGTTCCTCTCTTCAGGGAAGTCTGGTGGTGTGCACGTAAACGTCAGTAGGTTCCTGGTACTGAAGCGATATCGTGTACGTTTTCTCTGTACCAAACCACATACACAGAATCAGTTGAAGTTTTGACTGTTGAGATCTCGGGCAGATAACACCTCTCCATGCAGTCGGGCTTTTGAAGCCTTCACGCTCCAAGATGCTGCTGTTATCTGCAAATTACATTTAACGCCTTTTAGTATCGAGGACTTCAAAGATTTGGGTTAGAACGGTTCACGTTCTTTTTTTTTTTTTTTCATGTGCTTTTTTTCAAGAGACCATTGTCTTTGTTTTTCCAAATAGTAGCAAACAATGTCGTGAAATGTCAATAGCTGATCTAATACAAAGATTCAAAGCAATTCCCCTCATTGTTTTTTTAAGCTTCCTGGAAAAGCTAACATATGGCATTCATATTTCCTGTGAATTAAGGCTGGTTCTCCATGTGCTGACTCCTCATTGGGAAGCACGTCTTGTCTGACTAACCAGAGTTGGAGGCAAATAAAGGAAGTGGGTGACTAAGTAGCATTCAGGGAATTCTTACGTCAAAATTTCTCAATGGGAAATTGGAGGTATTTAAGATAGAAAAGCAGTAGAAATGCCAGTGGCTGATGTCTGAACTGCTCCTTTTTGGACATTGTGAAGTCAGAATTTTATCTAGTTCACTGAAAGAAGTAAACTGAGTTTCAAGCATCGTTTCCCCCGTCCTTTATCCAAGCATCCAGCGTGTGTTTAGGTTTCTGACATTGAATACTTTCAGAAGTGCGTGTCTGATTAAAGAGCAGAAAACTCCAGGTGAAGGATTCCACAGAAATGGGCTGGTAAGCACAGAGAACACCTCACGTCCTTTCACTTCTCGAAATAGTTTGGAATGTCCTGAAAACAGAGGAGCTCAGTGAAACTACCACATGTGATTCACTCTTCACCGATCCTGCAAAACCCACACCTAAATATCACTTGGTGCCTGTATATTTTGTTTCATAAGGACTAACATCAAATACACCATTTAAGCTGTTACAGTTCACAGTCTATTTCTGATCGCTGACTCGTGTGCTGCTCTGTTCCACTCCAGCTAAGCCTCTTCCTTAATGAGCTATTTACTGTATATCTTCACACTAGTCTTAGTTTACTTGAATCAAGCTGTGAGTATTGTAATCAGTATGATTCATCTTTGTGTGTGTGTGTGCTTGCCTTGGTTACGGTTTGTCTAAACCCCGGTGAGAGTTAGATGAAAAAAATGAAAAAACAAAAGAGAAAATCCCCATCACAAATCTTTATTACAAGGTTTAGTTTTAGCGTTGGAGTTCTGTTTAAGTATGAGCTAGAGACTGGCAGCTTGCAATTAGAAATAAAGTATACAGTCACTTCACTCTGTATGACAGAAGTGATACTCCCACAAACGTCATGCTTTCGAAAGATTAAAAGAAAGAAAAGATTTGCAGTTTGGTCTTGTTGATAAATGTCAGTTTAACCCTATTAAGAATGTTTTGGCCTGTTGACAAAAAATATAGGGGTGACATACACCCGAGAGGACCTTTAAAGTTCAGCATTAAAACCAAACCAAAGCTGTGTCTGAAACAGGAGACATTTAAACTTGTCAGATCCAATCAGCAGGCGGTGAATAGAATTCAAAACCGCGCATACCAAAAGTTCAACGACACGGAACCAGAGTTTTGTTTGTCTACCACTCACCTCCCACCCTCCGGGGATGACTTGTATTGTATTACGAGTAGCCGGCCACTGATCTGACCAGTGATGCAGTAGTGACAGTCATGGGACCGACCCCTCAGAATTTGTTTAACCCAGAATTGGCTCACCTACCAACTTTGCTGCATTAGCACTTGGATGTGTGTAACTAAGTAAAGGTTAGTGATGGGGTGTGAGCGGCTTGAAGCATCTCTGTGGTCTGACTGACCACTATCTGCCCCTAAATTTGAACTGTGCTTAAATTCAAACCCTTTTATTTATTTATTTATTTTGTGAATGCTGTTTCACAGCCATGATGGAGTGTGACCAGCTTTACCCTGATACCATGAAAACTAACAATGAACCCCAAAAGGAAGCGCATGAAGGTTTTCAATGCATATGGTCTGGTCGGTGTGATTTTAACACCTACAACAGTTTGTTGGTTTTTTAAGAAGCCAAAGCGGCTCAGTATGACATGGAGATGAGTCAAAATGCCCATTTCTAGCTACTAAACCCAAAAACAATCAAATTCTGCGCATGATTAGTCAAAAAAGAAAGAAATGAGACAGAAAAAAGTACTCAATGATTAGTTGTATCTAGTTTATGGACGCTTGTGTTTAAGTGAGTGTCAATCATATGTTTTCTTAGCAGCCTGACATATGTTTTTTTTTCCCTTGCAGCAGTATGGAAAAGAATCAGACCCCGCACTGTCAGGCTATCTCCACTTTACACCCCATACGAGTGGTGAGTCCCTCTTGACAGCTCAGTTGAGTCGGGTTGGTGACCAGATGCAGGTAGATTATGGCGTTTAAACTCAAAACTGTAATGATATCCACAGGACGTGGAAATCTCTTAAAAATCTACCTCTTATGTAACTAGTCACTGTTTGAATACATTCACCGTAGATGTCAGGCGATTGGGCCCCAATCCTACATTGTGGGTAGTTTGCGGGATGTAGGGGGTAACACCTAGCTAAGCCTGGAGCTGACTCAACGCGTTGCTGGGTTGGGCTCCCGTGTAATTGAAAGTGAGGTGAAGTCCTCCAACCTGGTAGAAGGCTAAATGACTAACATGCTGGGAAGCCTCGTCCGTCTGCCGGAAATCAGAACACAAACAAAGCACATTGAGCAATAGCACCATCGGCTACACAGGCATCAATGACTCACACACACACACACACAGACAAACCAGACAGGTTGGTGTGGATTGGAGTTCATTCATTAGCGTAGCCGAATACTAAAGCCATCTTCAGGCAGTGTCACTTCCACACGCTCTCTTTATGTCCGCGGCTGCCTTTACAAGTTTGTTTATTTTTCCCCTCACGTTTCTTGTGCCCAGCCCTGCTCATTTCCGTACCTCTTTTTGGCGTCCCTCGACTAGTTTAATAACCTTTAAAAAAAATATTCAACTTGAGCCAGCCCCGACCCAAATCTGGCAGCTTTCTCTACGTAACCTTTCACCAAAAATTTCCCACTTCCTCTTGAGGAAATTTAAATTTACGCCGCTTCCACGCGAGCTTGAAGTTGCCGCACACACACACACTCACACTCACACTCTTTCGATCACACATGTGTCACCTCTAGACCCGTTTCTGGTAAGTGTGTGCATAACTGAGACAATCCATTTACAACTAAAGCGGCTCCACCCACCTCTAACTTTGCACTGCAGCGATGACTCACTGTGGTGACTATACTGTACAATACTCTCCACGCTTCTCGTCTGTCCACTGATCTGTCACGCAGCATCATCACAGTTCCTCCCCTCCAACCGCTCGTGAACAGAGTTGCAGAATCGAGCAGAGTAAATTTAAATAGATTTTATTCAAAATACGATAGAAAAAACAAAAAGAAAAATCACAATTTAATAAGTATGAACATATCTGCTTAGCAGAAACGGTTGAATACGAGGTGAAATGCCTCGGCATACAGTACAGTACCAGCCGATGTGGGAGTGGATGCCTCCAGGGAATTCTGACATTCCCCTGGAACATTGCATTGGCCTTTTTTTAGAATGCGCGCTCACACATAGGAAAATAAACATTCAGGTGGGATGTAAACATAAAGCATTAGAGTATTAAAATCTGCTACAAAACCGGATCTGGCTTCCATCGTCCCCTCCACCACGGCTCTAATCTGTTAGTCCAATCTTTTAACGTCCTTTGGCCTGTCGGGACAGCCGTGGCCCAGAATGCTCCCACCAGTTCCCTCGGGGACGCAATAGCTCCACAGTGAGTGTAGTTTCCTTTTAATGCAGCCCTCTCCCACGTTTTGTACTTTGTTAGGGCCCGAGGATGCCATGTCCACGTGAGGCTGGGCGCCGAGTCTCTAGAGGTAACGGGTGGTGCTATGTTCTGGCCAAACCGGCCGGGGCCCGCCCGCATCCGTCTGTCCAGTCTGCCCCCGCTTGGCCAAAGCGGCCATCTTGAAACGAGAGAGAACACAGTCGCTATCTTCCAGGCCAGGCTGGTCACAGTTTGTAAGGGAACTCCAGGAGGAAGTTTTGGACGACGTGGGTGACCGGCAGAGCCGAGACCTGGCTCTTCCCCCCGCACAGCCCCATGACGCGCCTCCGGCACAGCTCCTGCAGCGTGGGCCTCCATTTCCGATAGGGGATGCTCAGGCTCTTCTTGGGCGAGTTGATGTAATGCTCCAAAAGGGCGAAGAGGGTCGGGAAGGAGCGCTCGTTGCCGGCCAGTGAGAACTTTTGCTTCTTGTAGTCGATGCGCACGCTGACCGGCCCGCTCTTGGCGTGGTAGGACAGGGTGAAGAAGACGTCCTTCTGCCGGCTGTCGCGGATGAGGAAGCTGCCCAGCGGCGCGTCCTGCAGCATGCGGTGGGCCTCCTCCACTTCCAGGGGGCCCCAGTAGAAGCCGCTGCCCTCGAGCTTGGCCGCCGTGTCGGTGATGATGCCGCAGTCTTCTTTGGAGGAGAAAGTGCGGAAGTGGGTGAGGTACGCAGCGCGGGCCGGCGCGGAGGTCAAGCTGGGGCCGGGGTTGGCCTGACGCCGAAGCTGCCCCGGCTCCGTGCGAGGTGGCGATGAGGTCGACGAGCTTGACGTCTTGTCGTGGCCTTCCACTGTGCTGTCGGCTACCATCCTACAGAGGAGAGAGGCCCCAGACTCTCTCCCATCTCTAACCACCACACTGACATCCTAAGAAAAAGCAGAGAAAAAAGACACGGGTTAATCATCTGTTCCTGGCTTAACAGTCAAAGCCAGCAGGATGTTTGCCGATCTCGTTAACGCGTGCGCTGAGAATCCTCAGAAGCTGCCGGGGCCCACAGAAAGAGTTCAGTTTCTATGTGATGACAGGTAGGAGGTGTGTTCCTCTTTCCGCAGAGTGATGCTTCATATGACTCTAATTCCTATCAGCGCTGATGTCACCCACATCCAGTTCGCTGAACTGTAGCCACACACATGTGCTTTCACGGTGCTTTTATGCCGTTTACGGCAGCCTCTTTTCCTCTCAGGGATTATTAGAACCGATAAAGACATTTACATACTCCAGATTAAGTTTTCCCCCAGTTCGCTTTACAACGTTGAAGAGCCTGTCTGGACCTGCTGACTAGGATGAGACAATGACTTCTTACTTATGGGCAGAATGCAACAAGTTAAGCAGCTAGGACAAAGTCTCCTTCATCTCCTTCAACTGAAGTCTGAATGTTTAAAATTCTGTGGTAAATTCCAATAAGAGTTCATAATTAATAGGTACGGTTTTTCTGAGCATCTTAAAAAAAAAAAAAAAGCATTAAAATGGTTTGAAATGTGCATGTTTCTGGCAGCCCAGCTAAAAAAGCTTCTGGCATGGAGACAATAGAAAACTACGATTGTCTGTAAATGGCTTTGTTTAAAGGAGAATAAGCTTGAACAATGCACTGTTTCCCTTTATTCTCTACTGCAGTGTGTTAAGAGGGGGAGGAACATAGACATATAAACGTCTATATGTCTATGGGGAGAGGAAGGCGTGAGCAAAACAGTTACAAAAGACCATTTTCCAGCGCCTCTCCCTGCTTTAAAGTCGCAGTGCAACATGTCTCCAGTGGGTGGGGAGGGGGAAAAAAGGGAGAAAAAGCCTCACCGTTTTCTTCTATCAGCAGCGTCAATAATCCCAAAGCGCCGATGCAGGCGGCAGAAGTCCTGCAGGGGATCGGACAGAGAGCAGCGTCCGGCAGGAGGTGACCAGCGGTGCGTCCGGCAGGAGGTGACCAGCGGGGCCGCCGGCTGCGATCCTCAGCCGACAGTTCCCGTGTGTGCAAATGAGTGCGAGGAAACACTTCTGGTTCTTATAGAACCAGCTGACTCCTCCTTCCCCCACAGCTGCCCCGTTTCTCAGAAACGAAAGTGAAACCCCTCGCTGGAAGCCGTCCCCCAGCGCTGTAGGCTTCGTCTGAACCCGGGATCTGATTTGAAGAATTTTCACGTCAACCGCAGGAGCCACATGACAGCGGGGCGTTTACAGAAACACAGGTGACGGATTCGAGTAATCGGAGCTTTTTCCTAAAATCTCTGGATTTGGTGTCAAACTGTTTTTACCGTCATGATCTCTTTTTGAGATCATTTTGCCCCCCCTTAAAAGTGCAGGATACCAAGCATATTTTCTATATGATGAGCCGGATGAGTAAAGGACACATTTTATGCAGTTTAAACTTAATTTTGATTAAATATAGCTCCTGGTAAAAAAAAAAAATAAAATCTGATTTACATTATATTTATGATAACATTATATGTACACAATTAGTTTGGCCAATATGTAACCCAAAAGTTGTCATCTACAAACATTTACAACCGAAAGATATTAGATTGAATCTTTCTAAAGACCAGAGAGATAAGATAAAGGACAGATTATTTGAACTGGGGCTGCTGGATCTTCGTCTGCTGAACTTCTGCTTTGTTGTTCACTGTGTTCAGCTCTTCTGCAGAACACTGGTTGCACAGACCTCATATGTGGTATGAATCAATAGTCTCACTCATTTTATCCAAGAATTTCATCTCATTGGGTATTTTCATCATGAATTAATTATTATCTATTATAGACTTCTTTTTTAATCTTTCTCTGTGCAGCACTTTAATAGGAGGTTGTGATTGGTCGGCGTGCTGTGTCTGGTAGCATCAGTCTGCAGCCACAAAGTCTGACCTGTTTTATGACCCCTATTTATATCACACTAGGCAAAAACGAAAGCAGACAAGTTTGATAGAACCTAACGTTTGTTTTCTTGTGCTTCCCTGAATGGCGTGTGAAGACAGAGTTTGCATGCAAAGCCACATATGTCGGAAGGCATGGAGCTAAAATTAAGTCTACTGCAAAAATGCATTTAAAAGGCCACCTCATACAAATGCATGATAAATTCCATTCACAATATCTTTGCAGCTTGTTGCCAGTGTCCATTTTTTTCATGGGTTCCAACTCCTTGTGATGAACTGCTTGTTTTTTTTTCACTGCTGAGTTTAAATGCAGCTTTTCACCGTAAACAACATTTTCAAACTCTGTTAATGGTGGCTGAGGGCAATGGGTTTCCATTGTATGTAAACACTGATGTCAGACATGTCGTTTGGTTAAAAAAAAGCATCAGTCAGACAAAATGAAAGTTAGGGAAACACTGAGGGTCAGCTGATAGCTACAGATGCAGCTGCAGGCTCAGGATAGCTCTCAGATTCCACTAGTGGTTCAATGCCTCTACTCGCAACTAGTCTGCTGCATTAAGAAATGCAGCAGAATAGTTTTTCACTGCTGCTTTTAAAGGCAGCTTTGCACCATAAACTACATTTTTAAACTCTGTTGATGGTAGCTGAGGGCAATGGGTATCCCGTTTCATGTAAACACTGACGTCAGACCTAAAGCCACATGTCGTTCGGTTAAAAAAGCATCAGTCAGACAAAATGAAAGTTAGGGAAACACTGAGGGTCAGCTGATAGCTACAGAGGCAGCTGCAGGCTCAGAATAGGTCTCAGATTCAACTAGTGGTTCAATGCCTCTACTCTACTCTACTCACAATTAGTCTGCTGCATTAAAAAAAAAAAAAGAAAGAAAGCTCCTGTGCCACATAACTTCTTCATTACAGAGAAATGAGAGTCAGGGAAAGAGGCCCTCTATGCTCTTGTAAGCCCCTCCTCCAGCATGAAACATTTAGGTGTGTGTTTTTCCTTCTTTGTGTCGAAGCTGCTGCAGAATATGAAAGAAGGACAGACTGGGTTTACTGTGCTCTCTGTGCAGCTCGGGGTAGGAATGAGTTAAAGGATCAGACTCAGTGAGAAACGGTGGAGGCACAGTTTGCCGCTGCAGATCCTGCTCCTGCTGCATGCGTAATGCATTTTGATTTCCAAATGCCCTCCTCCATATCGCTCTGTGTAACTCACTGTGCAAACACAGCGGCGTGTGTTTTGCGTCCGCGCTGCATTGTCTTTTGTTTGTTTCTTTGGACCGGCAGCAAGTTGGATGAGTTTCATTTTTGGGAAACAGGGAGAGACTGAAGAAGAGCCGGCACCACAGCGCGTGAGGCCCGTCCAATGAAGTCAGACGAGGCTGCTCATGCACCACAAGAAAAACTGCCCCAACAGCACAATGTGTACCTAACGGCCAATTAAATAAAGCTTTGTGTTTTCTCTTCTCCCCCTGACCGCCCACACCGTGCTACCCCTCACTGCTGATGAAGCCCTCTAAAAAATTCTGTTTGCAGATCGCAACAACAAGCCTTTGTTGTACAACTGCTGCGATTGTCTGGACAGGACAACAGTCGCAGGCCGAGATGACCACCGGAGAAGGAACTGGGCACCCTATTCCTGCCAGTCCTGCATGTTTAAAGGGCATCATTTCACTCCTGAATTATAAGCTGTGACATGTTCACGCTGAATCATCTGGTAAGACCTGCCCATAGTGGCATGATGAAATTGTGTAACTCGTCTACCCTGTTGTCTTGATTTGAAAAAAATAATTCCCTTCCTTCTCTGCATATGGGGAAATTTGCAAAGTTTTAAGGAATAGCTTCCTTGTTTTGCTCTGCGAGTTGGCTCGTTGCCACCTTTTCTACAGTAGCTGTGCTCCAGGAAAAAAGGTTTCGCAGGAAATTTTGTGTAACTCACTGGTGTAAGTGGTGTTATTCCTCATTCACACGAGAGCTGTCACAATATCTAATGCAGATACAAGATTACCGTGGCCAAATACATTAAAAATGGCAAAACTATTGTGACATCAGTGTGAAAATTCATCTACAGCTTTCAGTCTCATGTCTGGAGTCTTCCTTGTGCTTTCATGATATTACACTGATCATCATCATATGTATGACACACTTATCACAACAAAGACAGCATTTTTTTGTTCCTTTATTGCCACCCATTTATCGCTTTTGACAAACTTTTATAGCTTTATGGGAGTATTCCATGCAGTCTTTCATAATCTAGACATTTCCGAGCCTTTGCAAACAGTCACTAGTGTTACAGTAAAATGATCTCAACTCCTCCTTTCTGCCTTGCCTAACAGATTATACTTTCATTATGAGAACAATGTGTAAAAGTTACCCGTGTATAGTTACATTTGTCAATACAGTTTTTATTAGAATCTTTTTTTACTTTTGCTATTATTTAATTTTTCTATTTCCCATCTATAATGTGAAGGGATTATTGACTTTGTGAAAGATTAGAGGGTGTCACTTTTTAAACAGTACAAATAGCACATAGCCATGTGCTTTCAGGGAACTGCAGGGTGTATTTCATGGCATGCTGTAAAAATATTATGGATGCTATAAAACTTGATTGTTTGCTTGTTCTTCTTTTCTTTACTTGTCTTCGGTTTTGGTTTTGCTCAGCTCATTCATTAAGCCTGTGATTAAACCTCGTACACAGTGTGATATATCATGTAAACAGGAGGATGAGAAAAAAAATCCTCTGTAATGTGAAAAAATATACAAAAATGATTGGGGATTTAAACAACACATGCGGAAGTTTGTTCATTCGATCATTCAGTTGATTTGAGAGAAGACGTGAGTCAACAGGCCGCGCATGAAAGTGGAACTCTAGAGCTCCAGCTGTGTTTCAGTGAAACTTTACTGGTTACTGTAATGGAAAGATGAAGTCACTATGGCTTTTACAAAGAAAAAAGCCAGAGCAGGTAAACCTATCGTGCTGCGTATGGTGTTCAGTTTTGCTCGGGTGTGCATTTAACATTGACTTTCTGCTTGTGAGGTTCTCCGTGAAGTCCTGCTATTTCTGGGAAGTGCTAGACTTTGGAATGTTGCTTTTACAAACGGCCAGCGGCCAACGGCCAGTTTTTTTTTAGTAATGCCACACGCATCGAGGAAGTATTAATAAGTATATTAATAGTAAAGTAATGCAGACATAACAGGCTTCAACTTCACTGGGAGTTCTGCAGTGGGGTAAATACCTCCAGTACCTCCTGTAATATTTAATAAAGTAAAAGTACTAATTCCATAAGGTAAGTGTCTCCAGTTCAGAGTGCTACATTTGAAAGGAATTGGAGTTCAATCAGCACAATCAGAGAGAATGTAAACTAGGTGTCTGGTATGTCCTCAAAGGTCACGTGTTTTGCAGGGTTATCTGCACTATTTATCTATTTTGCCTTCATGTATTGTGTCTTCCAACTGATGAATGCCTGCTCTCAGGCCTGTGAAATGACCTGTGTGACTTCACTGCATCCCTCTCTGTCTCAGGATCTGCCTCTTGTGAGATTTAGCGGTTGTGTGATTTGTTTTATTGTTACAAACATGATGTTAGCCGGCAAACTATGTTACAAAAATTCAAATATGCTAGATTGACCATCGGCTCTGAGATATTGGCCGCGCCTTTTTAACTGGGTGTGAAAACTGGTGTATCATCTGCCACTGCCTTGTAAATAGTTGTTGTCCCTGTTCCTCCAGACAACAGTTTTTTTTTTCTTTTGTTGTCTGAAAGGTGTTGTGTGATCGGCCTCTTTCTTTGCTGGTCATGCCTGTTAAGTCTCCATGAATCAGGTTCCAGCTTCCTTTCGCTTCAGCCTTTCCGTAACTGGGAGGTGATACCTCTCGGGCAAATCCCTGCCCTCAGAGTATTCCATTCAACCACCCAGATATCCTGAGCTTGCACATAAACTCTTGCCATGTCCCGTCATTCTGAGTCTGAATGAAAATCCCGGCAGAGAAGGAAAAATACTTTTTTCACTCAGGAAATTTGATGACCCGCCCATGTTACAATTGTGCCGAGTTCTGTTTTTGAGTATGAATGTACGAATCGCTGATCCTACAACAGTCATAACAGGGGTGGGGGGGGTTTTTCCCCTTAAAATAATATTCCCACCTACACTTTAAATTACAGATGATATAAAAGTACTTTTTCAGTATTTTATTTCCTCTCACAAAGCGCGTTTACAGGCCTCGCTGCACTTTTCTGGGTTTGAACAGCATGTGCCTACAC